ACAGCCTGATCCCCTTTTTGGGGATTAAAATATATTTATTTTAACTGTTTGCAGGGCTCAAAAAGGCTGGCTGGTTCAGAAGGACCTCTTAAATTCAGGTTTTTGACATAGTTGTGTTCAGACGGAGTTCCAAACCTGGATAAAAATCAGATTTGTTAGATCTGTCAGACTGTAACTCTGCCCTTGGTAGAGGTGTTTTTTCAGAGTTTCTGCTTTTTAAAAAAGGCAGAAAGGAGGCAGATTTGGAGATGGTGGGTGTGAGGACTTTCGTTGCAGAGTTGAGAGTAAAAAGAAGCTAATTTCTAATCTTTGGTGTGCTATAATGCTTACTCAAGACTTTACTAAGAATGTGGTTTGATCCTTCGCTTATTTTGCAGTGTAGAAAGTTAAGCCCACTTTAATCGTGAGTAATTAAAGGTTTGCTGGCAGAAAGCAGAATTTTGTGTTATATTCAATACTAGCTCGATACCCATGCTTCGCTACGAAACTATGTGGTTGGATTAGTTTTTGGGGAGGAAAATAAGGGGGGAAAATTGTGCCTCTGCCTACCACCATCCATCGGTATTCATCTGGCTAGCGTCCTGTCAGTGTGAGAGAGTTGAGGGCTGTTTGGAAACTGAAACATTATTTGCCATGTGAGCAAGGAGACAGCAAGGAGCCTGGGCGTGGCTTAGCTCAACTGTTCTCTACTAAAGCTGCTTGGTGTTGTGAAAGTAAAACTGAAACTGAACCTCCTCTCCTCTGCTTGTGTTTTGCATTTGGAAGAGATTTCTTTTTCAGGTGGGGAGGGGGAGTAGAACTCCTTAGTATCAGAGCATGTTAATAATAATATCCAAAATACTAATGCTCTGGACGGTCATTTTGAAAAATCCTTTCTTAGTGAGCACCTAGAAGCCAAGAGGAACAGACGTGCCAAATGTCAAGTTTGTAGGCTTTACGGTTCTGGAGATTTCGTGATGATGCGTGAGGGGCATTTCGCTTATATATATATATAGATTGGCACTACAACGCTTGATCTGAGCATGTGGCACAAACCTGGAAGGTGATTTTTTTCAACCTGAGCAATTTTAAGATGGGTGGACTCCAATTCCCAGAATTCCCCCAGTCAGCATGCTGGGCTGGGAGAATTCTGGGAATTGAAGTCCACCTATCTTAAAGGTTCGTTATCTGGGGAATTCTGGGAGTTGGGAGAATAGCAATTTTAAACCACGCTGGCTGGGGAATTCAACCATCTTGAAGTACGGTAAGTAAATATGGCTCTCAACGATGGAAACCTTCACATACCCAGATCTGATGAAGTTTGAAAACAATGGCGATAAAGACATTTTGGACACTGAAGGGAAATTAAAATCGAAGCAAGAGGTTGAAGACCAGGATGTTATGCTATCATGGTGGCCTCAATTGCAAATACAACCTAGATAGGATACAGATATGAAAAAAGTATGGCTTTTATAATATAGGGCTCCTTCCTCTTAAAAGTTGATGAGGTTGACAAAAGCACTAGCCCACAAAGGGCTGCTTGTGAGCCTCCCACCTGGCCAGGTCAGAGGAAAGCCCTAGCAGATGCATTTGGGCGAACCGGTAGTACCGGTGACTTGTTGGCCCCGCCCACCCACCTGTGCCCTAGTCCCGTGATGGTAGGACAGTCATTTGTGCGGGCACGCGAGCCCCAGGCAAACACTGTGCATGCGCGTGCCTCCTGGCAGATTTTCAGCCGGTTTGAGGCCTTTCTCAGCCTGCCAGAGGCTTGAGGGAAGCCTTTGCAGGCCGAAAAATAGGCCCGTTTTATCTCTACCGGTATTTCCAGAAATGCAGAAAGTGACGAAACGGACCTATTTTTCGGCCTGCAAAGGCTTCCCTCAAGCCTCTGGCAGGCCGAAAAAGGCCTCAAACTGGCTGAAAATCAGCTAGGAGGCACAGTGCAGGTAAAGGGGCATGGTATGGGGGGGGGGCATGCATTTCCTTCTGGGTGATGGCACGCAAGCGCGCATACACAATTTTTGGCACAGGACCCCCAAAAGGTGAGCCGCCACTGCCCCTGCCTGTTCTTTATTTTTGCGTTGCCAGCTCAGCTGACTCGCACGGCACAGCCGATTGCCCGGCCTCTGCTGTTTCTCTCACCGGGGCTGCAGTAGAAGGTAAATTTTAGCACAAAATGGGCTCTTTGTTAATTGCTGCGTGCGCGCAAAAGGCGCACGCTCACCGAACCGGTCGTTACACCGGTTGAATTCCCACCACTGATCCACAGGCTGTAGGGAAGGAGGGGGGGGAAAGGAAGCTTGTTCAGAGAAGCTCAAGAGGTTTCGTAGACCAGCCGCGGACCTCAACTTACGAAGAACGTCACATCACGAGACGAAGGCCAGCAAAATCCCAAATTCGCTCGTGGGAAGGGAGTGGGCACAGCCAGAGAAGGGATCCTGGCTCGTTCCCTGCAGGGGGCTCCGGCAATCCCACCAAGACCCCCAAGAAACTCCCCCCCCCCCGTTTTAGCCATGGAAGAAGAGTTGTCCAGAACATTTCGGCCCAATTCTAGGATCTCTGGTCAGGGATGACCGCTTGGTTGCCATTCGGTAAATCCATCCCGCCCTCCGTCCCTCCCTCCCAGCCCCTCCTTTTTGCCCCCCCCCCCCCAAAAAAAAAACCCCCTTTCCCAACCCCTTTGGGTTTTTTTTTTTTTTTTTTTTTTTCCAGACAATCTTCCTTTAATACAAAGTCAATATATATATCTACATACAGAGTGGCGTGGTGACCACTTCAGACTTGTTTGTCCACTTGGCATGGCAGGCTGCTGGCGCCAGGGCCTCGCTTTCGCAGAAAGGAGGGGAGGAGGGGCCACTGGAAAGAAGAAGGGGGAAAAAAAAGGGCAGCTGGTCCCGTCCGGCCCCTCGACAGCCGACTCCCCCCATCCGCTCCCCTCCCCCCTCCACTCTTTTCCTTCCCTGGCTCTGCCAAAATAAGCTTTTCTTTTTCTTTTTCAAATGTCCAAAACCTGTAAAGAAAGTTTAGAGAACGAGACGGGGACCTGGGGGGCGGGAGAGCTCACAAATATAGATATAGAGATATATTCTTTTTAAAAATACCATTCTGATCAAGCCAGGAGAATCCATTTCCTTGCCTCCCCCCCCCACTTTAAAAAAGAAAGAAAAGAAGAAATAGATCCAGGTTTTTCAAGCCAGATATTTAGCCGTTCCCGGAAATGATCCCTCAGAAGCGACAGGACTTGAACCCGGGACTGGACAGGGTGGATGGATGGAAGGGGGGGGGAAA